GGTTGATTGATTGGTTTGGTTGGTTGAGTGATTGTTTGATTGATCGGTTGGTTGATTGATTGGTTGATTGATTGACATGGTTGGTTGACTGATTGGTTGATTGAATGGTTCGGTTGGTTGACTGATTGGTTGATTGATTGGTTTTTGTTGGTTGACTGATTGGTTGATTGATTGGTTGATTGATTGAGATGGTTGGTTGACTGATTGGTTGATTGAATGGTTCGGTTGGTTGACTGATTGGTTGATTGATTGGTTTGGTTGGTTGACTGATTGATTGATTGATTGAGATGTTTGGTTGACTGATTGGTTGATTGAATGGTTCGGTTGGTTGACTGATTGGTTGATTGATTGGTTTGGTTGGTTGACTGATTGATTGATTGATCGGTTGGTTGATTGATTGGTTGATTGATTGAGATGGTTGGTTGACTGATTGGTTGATTGAATGGTTCGGTTGGTTGACTGATTGGTTGATTGATTGGTTTTTGTTGGTTGACTGATTGGTTGATTGATTGGTTGATTGATTGAGATGGTTGGTTGACTGATTGGTTGATTGAATGGTTCGGTTGGTTGACTGATTGGTTGATTGATTGGTTTGGTTGGTTGACTGATTGATTGATTGATTGAGATGTTTGGTTGACTGATTGGTTGATTGAATGGTTCGGTTGGTTGACTGATTGGTTGATTGATTGGTTTGGTTGGTTGACTGATTGATTGATTGATCGGTTGGTTGATTGATTGGTTGATTGATTGAGATGGTTGGTTGACTGATTGGTTGATTGAATGGTTCGGTTGGTTGACTGATTGGTTGATTGATTGGTTTTTGTTGGTTGACTGATTGGTTGATTGATTGGTTGATTGATTGAGATGGTTGGTTGACTGATTGGTTGATTGAATGGTTCGGTTGGTTGACTGATTGGTTGATTGATTGGTTTGGTTGGTTGACTGATTGGTTGATTGATTGGTTTGGTTGGTTGACTGATTGATTGATTGGTTTGGTTGGTTGACTGATTGATTGATTGATTGGTTTGGTTGGTTGACTGGTTGGTTGATTGATTGAGATGGTTGGTTGACTGATTGAGTTGGTTAGTTGATACTGCTGGTTGGCTGATTGATTTGGTTGTTTCAATGAAATGGTTGATTGGTTGGTTGATTGTTCTGCTCGATTGAACGACTTGATCAAATGGTTGATTGATCAAACGGTTGATATTTTATTTTTATCACCATATCATAGTCGTCGTCGTCATCATCATCAATCTTCATCATTATCATTATCAACACAGTCACCACCATCTTTTACTCAGATTTGCAACGCAGTAGTAATAGCAGAGCTTCTTCCATCACCACTTTCCCATCGCTTCTTCGAAGGACCTGGAATCCCTTATATGTGATAACATTCGCCATCATTCCATCACATTTTTACCAGTATTTCGTCACATTTTAATTCCAATTTCGTAATGTTTTATTACGGTTTCGTAATATTTTATCATCAATTTGGAATAACTAATCATCAAAAATGTTCAGTTTAACGTTTTTTTTAATAAATTAATTTTATAATTTAATAATTAATATAAATAATATGGCACTCCTATTATCTAACTCTATGTTTATTTTCTACGTTAACATTAACTAATCCTTTCTGTGACTTTGATGGGTGGATTCAGGCAAATTCACATACGTTGCATGTGGGTGTGTGTGTTTGTGTGTATGAATGTATGTGTGGGTTTTATTGTTTTATATTTATCAACATTGAAAGAGCAAATTAGGTAAGAATGTTATTTTTTATGTTTTTTTACAAGAATATCATTTTTGGTCGGCTGTGGAATAGTTGGTTTATTTATTTTGAAAATTATGAATGTATGAATGAATGGATGGATGAACGTCTGACTGAATGAATGAATTAGTGAATGAATGAATGAATGAATGAACGAACGAATGAACAAATAAACGACTGAATAATTGTATAAATAAATATCTCGATGTGCATAAATCATTCTACTATTAAATTTATGCCCCAAAATCCTGACAACTTGCACGGTTTTGTGATCCGCTAAAAAACCAATTCAATTTTCCTTTAGTTAGATTACTGGATATTTTATCATCTCTGCCATCGTCATCGCCATTATTTCATCACAACATCATCATCACCATCTTCATCATCACCATCTTCATCATCACCATCTTCATCATCACCATCTTCATCATCACCATCTTCATCATCACCATCTTCATCATCACCATCTTCATCATCACCATCTTCATCACCATCTTCATCACCATCTTCATCACCATCTTCATCACCATCTTCATCACCATCTTCATCATCACCATCTTCATCACCATCTTCATCATCACCATCTTCATCATCACCATCTTCATCATCACCATCTTCATCATCACCATCTTCATCATCACCATCTTCATCACCATCTTCATCATCACCATCTTCATCACCATCTTCATCGTCGTCTTAGTCATCATTTTTTTTATAATAAAATGAATGGGTGCAATATTATCAACAATAACTCTGAATGTTATCAAATACTTTATTATTATTGATATCAATAACAATAATAATAACAACTATAATAATAATAATAACAAAGGTTCAATGGTTATTATTGATATGTTCATATTTCGTCACAATACCATCATGACACACAAAAAATGTCAACAAAAACACAACAAACAACAATAATAATAATGTTTATATATATGTATATATATATATATATATATATATATATATATAAAGTTTTCGAAAGTTTAATGGCAACCCTGTCGGCCAATCAGCAGTCTCTTATGAGGTCACGAGATCAACTTATCATACAGTATGTTAATGAGCTTTCAATATTCTAATGAGATTAATGAGGCAAAGTTATTTGAAAGAGAAAGATAGAGAGAGATCTAGAGAGAAAATAAAATGAAAGAACGAATGTAAATGATGATGAAGGAATATGAAATAATAAAAGAATAAATGAGAAAAAAAAGAGAGGAAAGAAGAGGAAAGGAAAAAAGAGAGAAAGAAAGAGAGAGAGAAAAAGAGAGAGAAATGAATAAATATATATATTTTTTCAATTACTTATGTTAATTTTGAAGCCAGTTCAATAATCATTACATCATAAACGAAGTGACAGAAGGATGCACTATTAAAGTATATTAAAGAAAAACGCGTTCCTTTGTATCTTAATTGATTGAAGATGGTTAATTAATTTATTAATCAAATGATTGAATAATTAATTAAGTTAATTATGTTTGTTTGTTAATTGAGCATATTTTTTAAAAATGATCGAAATTAATTTTCGTGAAATTTTGACGTGAAATTATTTTTTATAATTTATTTTATAATATTTGTTATAATCCATGATCTCATCTTCAATTTGTCATTCATATATGTTTTTCATTTATACGTTCTTACATTCACTCATTCATTCATCCATTCATCAACTCATTTATCCATTAATTCACCAATTCATCCATTAATTCACTCATTCATTCACTCATCCAATTAAACGATCTTTCATTCAATATCTTGGTTCCACCATCAACATCTACTTTTCTATCTAATTATAATATTTGATTACGTCACGATTACGTCACATATCACACGCACGATCACTGATAGAGAGATAAAATAATTTTCTCGAAATAATAATTCGCATAATTATTAATAATATAATATTAATTATTATTTTTATATTTATTTCGTGAAATAATTTACAAATTTTTCAATGAATTAAATATATGTGGACTAATAAAATGACTGAAATGATTTTTAAATTTGTTGGTTAAAAAAATTTAATTTCGTCCATCTAGCCAATTTTAACACTCGCAACTATAAATGACATCATCATCTTCATCTTCGTCATCATCACCGCCACCATCATCACTACTACAACTAACATCCTTCTTATCATCATCATCACCGTCGTCATCGTCATCATCATCATCATCACCATTCCTCATCATCAATGATGATGATGACGACGACGACGACGATGATAGATAGTTGAAGAAGCCAGCAGCAGCTCCAACATTTCCACAACTTCCTCCGCTGCTGTAACGTTGAATGAAAAAATGTAGGTCAGAAAAATTAGGTCGTTTATCTGGGTCAGGTGACCAGCACTGTAGAAGCATGTCGTAAATTTCTTTCGGACAGGGAGCAGGTTGAGGTAAAAGTAGGTCAAACGACGAGGATGAGCTTGGAGGCGGATGTGACGACGACAGAGAAGATGATAACGTCATAGTCGATGAAGACGACGACAGTGACGCTTGCTGTGAGTGGAGGCAATCACGTGATTGATTTGGATGACGTAAATGTTTGAAGTCTTGCTCTGCTGGGGTAGAAGTTGCCAACCTACATTCGGGCGATGTGATTGGTCCGCGTGACTGCAAGCGCTCAATCAGTTGTTCATTGGTCAGCCAATCATAGGGCTTGGTTCGGTTCAAGGTCAATATTTCCCAGAAGGTCACTGCGAATGACCAAACGTCACTCTTTATCGTTTTCTTGTTCTGGTGTCAATTGAATGAGTAATTTTGTAATTCTGTGTGGCAATAACAATTTTTAAATTTTGTTTCGTTGCCAGAAAAATGAACATCATCCTATGCGGCAAATGTTCGTCAAAAAAGTTCAATAAACAATTGACAATATAACCGTTATTATGAATCTTTAATTCATTCCTTTTACAAACAATTTAACTTCTAGATCTTATTTTCAAAAAGCAAAATCCCACTAACTATAATCCCCCAGCCAAATTTTAAGTTCAAGAATTAACTTTTTATTCAATCGAACCCAGTATATACATTCAATTCAGCCCATCTTACCGACACATCCCTAACAAAACTATCATACACATCACTTATTTATTAATTAAGCACATCACTGGACCCCCTCCTTCCACTAACCAACAGCAAAACTTCCGGAGCCATCCATCTAATCGGTAGTGGTGAGCCGTTGTTGGATGAGCGACAAGTGTAGTAGTCGTCACTATAGGCGGTCATATGTTTTGCTAGGTCACTTATTTTTATTATCATTTGGTGGACATTATTATTATTATTATTATTATTATTATTATTATTTTGAATGATATTTTTAGTTGAAGCAGAAGTATTATTTCTTGATGTAGCTGCAGTAGCAGTAGTAGAAGTATTATTACAGCTATGATGATTGATATTTTCGTATGCTGTCTCTACATTACTATCGCCAGTACCACCGTCAAAATTATTTTTATTATTATTTTTTTTATTGTTGTTGTTGTTGGGTATGTCGGTGTTAATGAAGATAACGCAGTTTCGCGTGGCGAGATCTCCGTGCACGAGTCCATTCGACTCCATGTACTTCATACCACTGGCCACCTGACTACTCATCTCCAACAAGCTGACCAAGCTGATGATGACGACGATGAAGATGATGAGTGAAAAAGAGGAAGAGGAAGAAGATGATGATGATGGAGAGAAAAAATAAGTAGATGACGATGATGAATGTCAATGAAGAAGGTGATGATGATGACGATGTTGATAAGTGAAGAAGAGGAAGAAGAAGAAGAAGAAGATGATGATGATGAAGATGATAATAAGTAAAGACGATGATAAATATTTTTATTATTAAGTACAACTTAAAATTATAAAAGATAATTTTGGTAAAGTTTTATTGACTAACCAAACGGCTAACCGCGATTTATTAAAATTTAGTTATTTTAAACGGTTACAAAAATTTGCGGGTTTTTGGCATACCTTATATTGCGACCCTCCGGACCGAGTCTGGGTGGCGATTCGACCAGAACGCATCCCTTCAAATACCGACCGAGGTCTCGATACTTCGAATATTCGAATACCATATTCACGTTGAGGTCTGTTTTGTTGCTAGGTATTTGCGCGTGTCCGAGAAATTTTAAGAAATTCTGGTTTTTGTTGGTCATCTGATGACTGGTCAGCTCTTGGTGGTATTGTTTTCTGGAGGATATTTTTCAGTGAAGATGATGGGAAAGTTGTAAACGTGATGATGGGGACAGTGATAAACTGATAAGAATGATTGAAAAAATATTAAAAAAATTAAATAAAAATTCAGAAAATAGAAAAAAAGAGATTGAGTAAAATGATTGTTTTGAAGAATATAATGAAACAATATCCGATAGTTCACACGTGTAGCTAAAATAAATTCAAAAATATCGATCAACCTTGTAGTCAGTGTCATCATAACGATACCATCTTCATCATCTTCTTCATCATCATCACCATTATCACCACCACCATCATCCTCATCATCATCATCATCATCATCAAGAACTCACTTAGACCCAAGGGTGGATTTCAAAAACCATTTGACGACCACAAAAATTTTCTTCCTCTTCCTTTTTCTTATCTTACTCTCTTCCTCGTTTATCGCCCCAGTCATCATTTTTATGTCAATGTTTTTTATTTCTATGTTTCCGGTTATTATTTTGTCTATAGAGTAAAGGGTACTTGCATTTTTTACGCTATTTATATCTATGTTTATGTTATCGTATTTCTTATCTATGTTTGTGGCTCTGATATCATCGGCTGAAGTTTTTATATCTATGGACGCCGCAATATCGCTATTAAGTTCTGCTTTATCGCTCGATGAAAATATTTTATGTTTTGTCTTTGGAGTAATGGTAGTATTGCTAGTTTCTGTTGTTGCAAATGTTGTTAACGTTTTTATTGGCGAGTTATTATTAATGTTATTATTAATGTTATTATTAATGTTATTATTAATGTTATTATTTTTATTATTGTAGATAAAGCTGTTGTTGTTGTTATTATTATCGTTATTATTGATGTTGTTGTTGTTGTTACTATAGTTGTTATTATTATTATTATTATTATTATTGTTGTGGTTGTTTTTATTATTGTTGCCTAATACTGAGCCATTATATTTGCGACGAAACCGTGCACTCTTGCATAATTCATAAAGATTAAGCTGTCAAATTAATGAAATAATAATAATAATAAGAAGAAAAAGAACAACAACAACAAATAACAATAATAATAATAACAATATTAATAATCATCGTAATCGCAGCCATCATCCTCATCATCATCCTCATCATCATCCTCATCATCATCCTCATCATCCTCATCATCATCCTCATCATCATCCACTCACTTCAACATCGTCAGAGCAATCTGTAAGCTTATCTAAGAGTCTCAAATCTCTACAATCGATAGTCTCAACATTGTTGCAATGTTGTTGCTGCAACGAGTTGCAAAGCGCCGTTGTTGTTTTTGATAGTGTTGTTAATGGGCTGTTGTTGTTGTTGATGATGTTTGTGTTGTTGTTAATGATTTTTGTTGCTGATGATAAACTATTTTTGTTGTTGATGTTGTTGTTGACTTTAATGTTGTTATTGATGTTATTGTTGTTGTTGTTGATGCTGTTGTTTCGTATTGGGGGCGGGGAGGGCAGTCCCTTTGGTGGGGGCGGTATGTATATGAGGGGTGATCTTGTGTGTCGTTGGGATTTTTTGGTTGCCGTTGTTGATGTTGTTGTTGATGTAAAAATTGTTGTTGTTGGTGGTGGTGGTGCTGTTGATGTCTTTAACGTTTTCGACAATGTAGTAGTTGTTGATGTAGAATGTTTTTGAGCAGTAATTTTTGATGAGGAAGATGAGGATTTTTTCGTCGCCAAAGTTGTTGTTGATGCTGCTGTAGTTGCTGTAGTCTGTGAGTTGTCTGGCATTAAATTACTGAGCGTAGATTTTGAAAACTTCAACTGGTTGCTGTCGTTAATGAGGCCGACGTTTTCCGTCTGGGAACTCATGTCACCGATGTTGTCGTAATGTGAACTGTTTGCGATTATGCTATTATTATTATAATTATTATTACTATAATTATAATCATTATAATTATTATTATTACGATATTGTAGCAAATCAGAATTGCTATTGTCGTTTATATCCTTGCTGTTATTGTTGTTGTTGTTATTATTGTTATTGATGTTATTTGCATTACGACCGTATGCAAAACACGAATATGCCGCTCGCTGTTTATTATGCTGAATATTATTATTATTATTGTTGTTGTTGCTATTGTTATTATAGCTACAATAATATTTATTATTGTTATTATAGTTGTAAATATTGTTGTTGTTGTTGCTGCTGCTGCTGCTGTTGTTATTATTATTTATTGCATAAGACGATTCACTATTGGCCGGCTGAAATATATCTTGCGCTGAGGTCAGTGTAGTGGCCGTCGTCGACACTGTGGCGATTGTAGTAGTAGTTGTAGTAGTAGTAATAATAATAATAACAATAACAATAACAATGGTGACGATACAACATTAACAACAATAATAATACAAATAAAACTTTATTTTGTGCCTTGATCGCAATCATCGCAATCACACTTATCATCATTGTCACCATCATCCTCACCATACAAACTATCACCAACACTACTACTACCAGTACCGAAACATCAATGTCATCATCATCATCCTCACCATCACCACCACTACCATCATCATCATCATTACTAACGACTAGATTCTAAAAATAACTTTCTTGGTAATCCCATTTTTTTCCGCCCCTCAAAAAACAGAGCCCTGTCTTCTCCGTACCCCACTACGTCACTCCCACAACAACCGACGTCTCCATGGCAGCTGCCACAACCACAACTAGCATTATTGACGTCATCAAAGCTACCACTACTCATTAACATATTGTTGTAAGCGTTGCTGGCCTTCGTGACCAATGCTCGGATGTGATTGGTTGAGACTGGCATTAGGTTTTGGGGTAAAGGTTGTGATAATGATATTTGGGGTGGCGGAGGCGGGGGTGGTAGAGGTAGCGGTGGCAGCGGCAGTGGCGGCCAACTTGTTATGTAGGATGATGAATCGCAGATGGAAACATCAATGGAATTCTGATGAAAAATTTGTTGTGGTGATGATGAAGTGACGATGCCAATTGTGATAATACAAAACTCGCATAAAAAGTACAAGCACAAAACACTGAAATCGAAATCACACGTACAAAACACACGCACACAACAAACAAGACAGAAATAGCGTCACCAATTTATCTATCATTCACCTTTTTCAGTTCCCCACCACTGCAATCATTACCATTGCCATTACGACAGGCTTCGTTGTAGTAGTTGTCGCTATTGTCGCTACCACTAACGCAACAACAGCATCCACCACAGCTACTACTATCATCATCGTCGCACACGTTGACATTAGTACTATTATCAGGAATAATAATAATCTTATTATTAGCATTAATATCATTGTATGTGTTATTTAGGTTTTTGTTGCTATTGATGTTGTTACTTGCGTTAAAGTTATTAATCCCGCCGTTAAAATTATTATTATTATTATTATACTTATTATTATTATTCATCTTTTTATTATTACCACCTTTGTTATTGTTATTATTATTTTTATGTTTTTTGATGTTGCTCTTGACGGCGTAGATGACGACTGAAGATACGAGGAGGAAAACGAGGGCCACCACGACCCCACAGACCACACCGACCACCCTGTCGACCACGAGAAGCCTGTCTAGCAAAGATGGCGACGACGATGATGATAATGATGGCGGTAACGATGATGACGATGACGATGATGATGATGATGATGACGATGACGATGATGATGATGATGATGATGATGACGATGATGATGACGATGATGATGACGATGATGACGATGATGACGATGATGATGGGGGTGGCGGTGACGATGATGATGACGATGATGGTGCGGGATAAAAGATGGATTTAGTAGTCGTTTTTATCTGGAAAAATGACTGCAGCTTAGGCGATGATGACGACGACGACGACGATGAAGATTGTGATGATGATGACAGTGATAGTAATGATGTCGGCGATGTTGATGATTGTAGTATTGAGACTTTTAACTTATTGGGGTTGATTATTTTGCTATTGAGCTGGTCACTGCTGAAGTTGCCGTTGTTGTTGATGTTGTTGTTGATGTTGTTGTCGATGTTGTTGTTGATGTTGTTGTTGATGTTGTTGTTGTTGTTGATGCTGTTGTTGATGTTGTTGTT